TGTACAATTAAGATACCCTTGCTTCAGGTGTCTGTCTGGGGCCTTATTTCTTTCTGGCACTCCATTTCTTTTCATTTCTCTACTTTCTTTTTTTGGTCGGTCATGGGGCTTGAACTCTGGGCCTGGGCGCTGTCCCTCAGCTCTTCAAGGCGAGCGCTCTACCACTTGAGCTACAGCGCCACTTCCGGTTTTCTGGTGGTTTATTGGAGATAGGAGTCTCACAGTCTCTCCTGCCGGGGCTGGCTTTGAACCGTGATCCTCAGATCTCAGCCTCCTGAGTAGCTAGGATTATAGGCGTGAGCCACCAGTGCCCGGCTGTCATTTCTCTACTTTCTGACTCTTGGCACTTTAGGGTACTATATTGAAAGACCTAATTTTTGAATTTTTTTTTTTACTTTGACCCTTGGTTTTATTTATTTATTTATTTATTTATTTTTTTTTTTTTGATCCGATCGTGGGGCCTGAACTCTGGACTGGGCACTTTCCCTCAGCTCTTCAGCTTGAGGCTAGTGCTCTACCACTTGAGCCACAGTGCCACTTCCGGCTTTTTTCTTTTTGCTTATGTGGTGCTGAGGAATCAAACCCAGGGTCTCAGGCATGCAAGGCAAGTGGTCTACCACTGAGCCACCTTCCCAGCCCCCTTGGTTTTATTTTGACCATTTCCTGGTCTAGACCAATCCAATGCCTTTCAGTTGTCATTCCCTACATTGATTCTCTTAAGCCTACCTGGCTATCTATTGTTATTCTTGAGTTCCAAATTAGCACTAAGGAGAGAGCTAATAACTATACTTATAGAAGTTAAATCATCCTAAATAAGAAATGACTAGTTTCAAAAATTCATGTGACCAAAATTGGCATTCTCCCTTTATAGAGGAAATGGCGAATTAGACATGTTGGAGATATCAAATGTATAAAATTAGACTATTGGGTGTGGTAAAATACTTAGTATAATACTCAAAAATTTTCCCAGGGTCTTCTTGGGCACATGTGCTGGTTGAAAAAACATTACTGATCATAAATGCCGCATCAAGCTACTATCTGAGCCAAAACATATATTTTCATAAGAACCCATAACTCCAAAAAAGGCACACACTTTTGAGAATGTGGATGTCTTCCTAATCCTCCAATGTCTGGCAAACCTGAAAAAACAACATGGTCACCAGTGTAACCGATGCTCAACTTTGTTGGAGGGAGCAATATATGCAGGTGATTATTACCAAGGCTACAGACCAAATGGCATCAATAAGACTCTTTGTTATTTTGGTACATTAAAAGGAAATTGATGATCTTTACATGGTTTTCTAATGAGGAACAAATTCAAATAAAAAATGTATTCAATGGAAGAGAAGTGATCCTACTAATATTTCCCATTAAAAAGCAATAGGCGATAAATACAATCATAATACTCAATGTGTTTATATGAAAATAGAACTAACTCAAAGGGATGAATGGGGTTGGGAGAGATGGAAGGGGTCATACTGATAAAGATGCATTGTACAAGCTAGACATTCACCTGTTGCTGATGCCTGTTATTGTAGCTATTCAGGAGGCTAAGATCTGAGGATCACAGTTTGATGCCAGCCAGGGCAAGAAGGTCCATGAAACATTTATCTACAATTAATCAACAAAAGCTGGAAGTGGAGCTCAAGTAGTAGAATATCAGCCTTGAGTGAAAAAGCTAAAGGACAGTGTCCAGGTTCTGAGTTCAAGCCCCAGTATTGATTTAAAAAAAAAAAAAAAGATGCACTGTATTCCTAAATTGATGTGTTAATTTGAACCCCTATGTACAACTATTTATAATTTTTTTATCAGTACCTTAAATTTTCAGTGGCATTTTTACTTTAAAAAAATGTCCAGGCATCAGTGGCTCAGGCCTGTAATCCTAGCTATTCAAGAGGCTGAGCTCTGAGGATTGTGGTTTGAAGCCAGCCCAGGCAAGGAAGCCCATGAGACACTAATCTCCAGTTAACCACCAGCAAACTGAAGTGGCACTGTGGCTCAAAGTGGTAGAGTGCTAACCCTTGAGTGCAAAAGTTCAGGGACAGTGCCCAGGCCCTGAGTTCAAGCCTCACAACCAGAAAAAAAAAAAGGAAGTAGAGCTGTGGATCAAGTGGTAAAGCACTAGCCTCAAGCACAAAAGCTCAGGAATAGCATTCTAGGCCCCGAGTTCAAACCATAAGAGTAGGACACACACACACACACACACACACACACACACAGATTAATGATTTTACTTGAGACATGCCCATTTCTGTAGAGTGGTGAACACTGGATAAGAGATTCATCATGGCAAGTCGCTTAACTTCATGCCTGTTTAATAAATTTTACCTCATCTATAAAAATGGAGATGAGGGGCTGGGAAGGTGGCTCAGTGGTAGAGTGCTTGCCTGACATGTGTGAGGCCCTGGGTTTGATTCCTTAGCACCACATAAGCAAAAAGAAAAAAAGCCGGAAGTGGCGCTGTGGCTCAAGTGGTAGAAAGCTAGCCTTGAGCTGAAGAGCTGAGGGACAGTGCCCAGGCCCAGAATTCAGGCCCCATGACCGGACCCAAAAAAAATAAAAATGGAGATGAAATTTCTAAGATTATGATGTGTAAATAATATTTTTATTTACCTTGATACACACTATTCTGATGTAAATTAAATATACCTAATTAAATTGTATGGAAAATATGCATACCTGCTGAATATGTATACATCCAAATGCACTGGTGTCCTAAGACTACTATAACAAAGCATCACAAGTCATTTATTATATTCTAGGTCAGTAGAAAGGAAGTCCAAAACATCAAGATGTCAGTAGAACTGACTCCTCTGAGGGCTAAGGAGACTATGTTCCATGTCTCTGCCCTAGCTTCTGGTGGCTGTTGGCATACTTGGTACTCCTTTCTTGGTTCATAGCATCATATGCCAACCGGTGTCTCTGTCACCTGAGGGTGTCCCTTTGGGATCCCATGACTATCTCCTCTCCTTGTCTTAGAAGGACAGCTGTCCTGTTAGACCTGGAGACACCCTATTCCCGTGTGACTTCCATTTTAACTAGTTATTTCTAGGATAACCCTACTCCAAGAAAGAGTACTTGAGTTCCAACCCTGAATTCCAGACTTATGAATTTTGGAGGACACTATTCAACCTATCCTGAGAACTGTATTGCTAAGTTATTCTTACTTTTATCATAGCTTCAATAGGCTAGTTCTTAAATAAGAACCAAAATCTGGACCTTAGTAGGGTTGATAGAATAACTGAGAATGCTGGTCATACTATTTTTTTTTTTAACCTCTTCTGGGCCTAGAACTTGGGGCCTGGGCACTGTCCCTGAACTTTTTCTTTCTCAAGGCTATCATTTGAGCCACAACTCCACTTTCAGCTTTTTGTGGTTAATCGGAGATAAGAGATACATGGACTTTCTTTTCAAGGTTGGCTTCAAATCATGATCCTTAGATCTCAACTTTCCTAAGTAGCTAGGATTACAGGCATAAGCATGCCCAGCTGTGATTTCTTTCTTTTTTCCTTTTTGTTGGTTGTGGAGCTTGCCTGGATGCTGTCCCTCAGCTCTTCAGCTCAAAGCTAACACTCTACCACTTGAGTCACAGCACCATTTCCAGTTTTCTAGTGGTTTATTGGAGTTGAGTCTCATGGACTTTCCTACCTGGGCTGGCTTTGAACGGCAATCCTCACATCTCAGCCTCCCAAACGACAGGATTACAGGAGTGAGCCACCAGAACCCAGCTCCAACTGATTTCTAAAGATGTCACAATTTCTGTATTCTGCCTATTAAAAAGTGCAGGTATGGGCTGGGAAAGTGGCTCAGTGGTAGAGCGCTTGCCTTGCATGCATGAGGCCCTGGGTTCAATTCCTCAGCACCACATAAGCAAAAAGAAAAAAGCCAGAAGTGGCGCTGTGGCTCAAGTGGTAGAGCATTAGCCTTGAGCTGAAGAGCTGAGGGACAGTACCCAGGCCCAGAGTTCCATGACCAGATCCAAAAAAAAAAAAAAGTGCAGGTAAAACTGGATTGTGAGAAAATTTTACAGACTGATATCAAATCAAGACCAATAGTTTATTTTCAAGATTGTATACCAGGATTGTATACCAACTACCTGAACCTAAAGAAGCCATATACAAAACAATTCCTGGCAGTCCTAGAGTTCCATATGCTTTAGATTTGGAAACGTGTATGTCACAGTGTAGCTACACTAACTTTCTGCTCACTGCACAGTAAGTACAGAATAAGTGCATTTGTAATAGTTATATATTATAGATAAGGAAGCACTTATGACAAAAGAGATCTTGGTGGCTGTGTGTCAAAGACAAGACTAGGCTGTTTTTGTTTCTACTGAATTCCCTGGGAGATGAACGGAACACTTCTCTAATTTTTGGTTTTCCACCCCATACAAATTTATAACTGAACACAGATTTCCAGGGTTTGTGGTGTGCCTGAATTTTCTTTTAAAAAGAATCAGCTGCTTGCAGCTGAAAATAATCTCCATTACTGAAAAAAAATATTGCCCTTAAGAAAATATAAATATAAGCATTTTACAGATTTATTTCAGACATGCTAACCCCCTTCTCAGCCCCCAGGAATCTTTTAATGGTGCAAACTCCACACAGATTCAGCCATTTAGGGGATTCCCGTAAATAGTCACCCCTTTGTAGTAGGTTTGGTAAAGATCAAGCATTTCGGCACATGTTTGGGAGTCTTAAGCGCTTCAGAATTCTCTGTGAAAGGACAAAAGAGAGACTTCCTGTCATTCCAAGGTTTCAGCATGTGGGACCAATATGGGCAATGCAAAGTTTAAACAGATGCAAATGGTGAGGGGAGGAGGCAATGTCAGGACTTATTTTACATATTTCTCCAGCTCCAGGTTGAAGTGAAGTCACTCTCCCCTGGGCTTGAATGGTCCATTTCACCAATATTTGCTTATGGAAATAAAGGGGAGGGACCGGGAGAGGAGCGGCGGGTGGAGGAGGGGTTTGCGGCCCCGTGGGCTTTGACCACAGCCCAGCGCCCCAGTAACCTTGTCTGATGTGATCATTAACCTTTCTGGAAAACGCAGCCGAGGTTGGTTAGAATGTGAGGCGCCCCGCACATATCCTGCACAAGCCGCGTACAGATTGCTTGCTTTCTCTCCGGAGTTCTGGCTGTCTTGGAGTGTGTCAGGAAAGAAAAAAAAATGAGATTTCAACAACTTCTTTGTGTCTTTTTGGTTTTTATGATGAGTCTCCTCCTTACCACCGGACAGAGACCAGGTAGGACTCTGGTACATCTTGGACCGAATGACTTTTTACGCCTGGTTGTGTTGAGTGTGATTGCTGTTTATACCGAAAGTTACTGAGGTGAGGGGCAGTTATTAGAAATGTGTACGATTTCACAAGTTTGCTATCTTCTGGGGGGGGGTATTATTCGAGTACTTTTAATCACTGCATTTTAAAATATTGATATACATATATAGAGTAGTATTTTACTAAGAAAGGTAGTGCTCTAAGCAATTGTAGATACATTGTCCTTGCAAGTTAAAAGAAATGCAAATGTTGATGCTCTCTTGATTAGAGAGTTAATAAACCTATCTATAGACAGTTAGGTGAAATGTAAAATCCAAATCAGTTTATTAAAAGCTTGTGGCTGACCGGAGGATGACAATGTTAGCTGAATTGTGAAAGAAACATAATGAGTCAAAGTGAGTCAAAAGTTGCTATTTCTTGCTGGGCGCCTGGAATCCTAGTTGCTCCGGAAGCTGAGATCTGAGGATCGCGCCTTGAAGCCAGGTAGGAAAGTCTTGGAGACTCTTTTCTCTGATTAACCACCAAAAAGCTGGAAACGCTGCTGTGGCTCAAGCAGTAAGAGTGCTCAGTGGAAAAGTTCAGGAATAGCACCCAGAACCTGAGTTAAAGCCCCGGCCGGGAGGGTAGGGAAGAGATGCCTGCCTTCCTTCCTTCCTTCCTGTCTTCCTTCCTTCTTTCCTTCCTTCCTTGCTTTTCTTTCTCTCTCTCTCTCTTTCTTTCTTTCCCAGTCCTGGGGCTTGAATTCAGGGCCTGGGAACTGTCCTCGAGCTTCTTTTGCTCAAGGCTACTAGCACTCTACCACTTGAGCTACTTCCCCAGCCTGAGAGATTTCTATAGAACTATATAATCTAAACTATGGATGCCCATAGAATTAAAAAAAAAAAAAAAAGCATGGTCAAGATACATAGCAATTTGTGTGGGTAGCATATTTTTCAAGGATGGTATCAACAGTTAGGAGACAAAATTACTCTAATGTGCTTTTACTTCAGAGCCAAGGGCCTAAGATTTCAAAGCCCTGGTAAATAAAAGAATTTGAAAGTTATGCCAGTGGCTCACACCTGTAATCCAAGTTACTCTAGAGACTAAGATCTTAAGATTGCAGTTCAAAGCCAGCCTGGGCAAGAAAAGTTCATGAAACTCTTATCTCCAATTAATTATTAAAAAAAAAAAAAGCCAGAAATGAAGGCATGGCTTAAAGTGGCAGAATACTAGCCTTCAGCACAATCGCTCAGGGAGCTGAGTGCTCAGGCCCTGAGTTCTAGCTCTAGGACCAGCACAACAACAACAAAAAGATTTTGAAAGGTAAAGATTTCTGCCACACAAAAACCTAAGTTTGAATAGAAAAGTGGTCACACATCCTAATTTGTCACATTATTTCCTTGAAAATACAACTTCTTCCATCAGATAAACGTGGTGCATAACTTATTTCCTTCTAATTCATGGGAAGTTTGGTTGCTCTCAGGTTTTTTCAAGTGACGCTCCCTGATCCGTCCTTTAGCATAGAAAAGAGTTCCAAGTCAGCAATTCCTTCTTGTGTTGTTTACAATAATTGCTACCCAACCATTTACATTTTTCCAAAATACAGAAACCTTGGGCAATATTCTTGTAAGATATCTGGAATCAACTTCTAACATAAATAAAAGTGTGAACAGCATTTAGAAGCAATCTTGTAAGCAGGCTATGACAATTAAGATCTTGCTCCTAGCATTAACTGTTAGGAGTACATCACATTAACTTTTGTATCATAACAATGGATGAACAAATAGGAAATAGCCGCAGCACAGTTTAGCGACAAATATACTCCAATATTTTTTGTTTTTGTTTTTGTTTTTGGGTCCAGTTGTGGGGCCTGAACTCTGGGCTTGGGCACTGTCCCTCAGCTCTTCAGCTCAAGGCTAGTGCTCTACCACTTGAGCTACAACGCCACTTCTGGCTTTTTTCTTTTTGCTTATGTGGTGCTGAGGAATCGAACCCAGGGCCTCAGGCATGCAAGGCAAGCGCTCTACCACTGAGCCACCTTCCTTCCCAGCCCCTATTTTTTGTTTTTATTAGCATTTATTAGCTGTACAAGGGGAAATTTCACTTCGACATTCCCATGAATACAATGTATCCCAACAAAATCACCCATCCATCTCTCTCCCTTACCCTTCTTAAAAGGATTTCAACAGTCATCACTGTTATACACTTATACAAAGTACTATGATCATAATCTCCCGCTAGATAGCATAGTCATTAATTTTGTAAGCACTCCTAATATTTTCCTTTCTTTCTTTTCAGCTAATTTGGTCCTGAGAAGAAAACTGCATAGACACAGCTGCCTTCAGAGGCGATGTATACCTCTTCACTCACGAGTACCTTTCCCCTGAGGTATTTCTGGCAGAAGATTCTTCCTCTATTGGAATTAGCTATACCAAAAAATGCTCTTTCCTATTTAGCAATATGTACAAATGGCATGTGGTGATATAAATCTTTAGAAGCTGCATGGTCATGAGTGGCAGTGCGAAATGATATGGTGTTTGGGAACTGCTTCTACGGTTTGGGAAGAAAGTAAGACAGAAAAGAAAAATCCTGGTCACCATTGAATCTAAGTGATAGCTCAGTGGGAAATAATATTATTGTATATGCTTGAGAATTCTCATAATTAAAATATCAAGCACCAGAATTTTTAAAGTATCTTTAAGCATGTGTTTGGGAAAACACTGAAAGCTGCAGATGTTAACCAGAACAAACACATTTCTCATTGAGACACATTTATGCAATGGTGCCATAACGGTAGGCCAGCCTACTTCCATGTTCAGTGTAGCAAATCAACTCGGTCCCAGTGGCATGGTGGCTTTCCAGCCTCACTCACGGTAGTGGTCTGCTGGTGTATCTTTCAAGATAAAATTATGGGTAGACACCCATTTTTGTTTTTTATAGTCACTAAAGGACCAATGACTTCATATTACCACCCATCTTCAGTAATATTGCTTCATCAATATAGCTGCCCAGAGTTTGTCAATGAATACTAATAAATGCTAATAAATAATGAATACTAATAAATAATCTGATGTCCCATCATAATTATTTTAACTCCTTTAGTTCATTTAAAAATATATTCTTTCAAGGAAAACACCAGAAATGGCCTGCAGCTGGTTAACATACACAGGCATCTGCTAAATTAGCTTATTCAGTTGCTCTGTAGACTGGTAGCTTTTATGGCTGTATTCAATGGGTGGAAAGAATGGTTGCTATGCCTATTGTTTAATACATGCTTTTCAACCCCAGTGAAAACCTTGTAGTAGGAAATGAAATTAGAGAACAGCAACTTGGTAATAAGCATTTACCACAGGAGGAGACAAAAAGCCAAGTGTTTTAGGCCAGTGTCTGGAACAAATTACTCTTTGCTGTTAAAAATTATGAAAAGTAAGCTTGGTGAAGAAATCTAGAAAGATACAGTAGAAGACTCCTGAGGAGCTAATGAATCGTGATTGAAGCAGGCTTGAAAGGGATCTAATATGTTAAAATATCCTTTGGTGTGCGTTGATAATGTTTCCAGCTGAGCTTTTCAATTTCACCTGTTATAAAATAACAGTAAAATCTGGGTTTAAGGGAAATGAAGAAATGCTGATTTCCCCAGTCCTCTTTTGTAAATAACAAAGCAGAGCAGAGTGGCATTTCACAACAGCAAGAGATTCTGTGTGCACAGAACAAGATGCCTTTGCAAAATCCAAGCACAAATTTGTAGCCACAATTTAGTTTGGCTTTTTCCAAACATTCCCTACCGTAAAAAAATCAGGGCTTCAAGTCAAGTAAACCAGATAGAGTAGTGAAATTCAACTTGGCAGAATTAAGGGAAATTCTGACCTATAAACTGACCTTGTAATCCAAGGGAAATTTAAATGAAAGGTATGTAAGCTAGTTAATAAGCACAATCCATTAAGAAAGTCAGCTGATAGCGTTATAGACCTGCTCAGGTTACAGTGTCCATTTATGTTCTCAGTGTTTAGGCTAGTTCTGCATCCAGTTACAATTCTCTGACAAATGTGTAAGTCACCTGTTGGAATCTAGTGATTATTAGACAAACTAATGTAAGATAAGCATTTATGATAATTTCCCAAGGTCTTGCTTGCCCCACTAATACCAATAACAAGTCCTACCTTCAAATCTGATAGCACAATTTTCACACTTTCTATGTCTTGCAACACAGGCACTGTCAACCTAAGTAGTGACTTCTCAGGCAAAACCTCCCTTTCATTTCTCTCCACTCTTCTGCATGCTTTAGATAAAATCTGCTTGTGGCTCTGTGAATCAGAGTCAAGCAAGACTAAAAGGACAGGTAAGGTAAACAACTGACTTAGGCTATTTTCTGGATTAACTCTTTAGCATCTTTAGACCATTACATCATTTACACAGAATGCCTTTACCCTTGTTCGCCCTTAGCTAGCTCTGTGTGCTCCTCAGTGATCCTAGCATGATTTTATATAATTGATTAAATAAAACAAAAGCTAGTGGCTCACACCTGTCATCCTAGCTACTCAGGAGGCTGAGAATTGAGGACTGAGGTTGGAAGCCAGCCCAGGCAGGATAGTAGCCCATGAAACTATTTCCTCCAATTAACCATCAAAAAAGCCAGAAGGAGGAGCTCAACTGGTAAGGTGCCAGCCTTGAATTAAAAAAGCCAAGGGACAGCCGATAAGCCCTGACTTCAAGCCCCAGTACTGGCTAAAAAAAGAAAGAAAAAAAGATTCTAGTAACTTTCCTCTTCCAACTGCAATACTTCAATGCTTTTATTTACAAATAGTCACTAGATAGCCACCAGCCCTATTAATAACAGCCTATTAATAACAACACTCTAGCTTTTTTTTTGGTCAGTCATGGGGCTTGAACTCTGGGCCTGGGCACTGTCCGTCAGCTCTTCAGCTCAAGGCAAGCACTCTATCACTTGAGCCACAGCACCACTTCCAGTTTTCTGGTAGTTAATTGGAGATAAGAGTGGCTGGCTTTGAACAGTGATCCTCAGATCGCAGCCTCCTGAGCAGCTAAGATTACAGGTGTGATTATAATGCCTGGCCACTCTAGGTTTGTGTGTGTGTGTGTGGCATCAACATTTATTTCTAACCATATAAGAACGTAAGTCAATAGTAAAATCCCCACTGGATTCTACTGCCCATTTTCACTTCTCAGAGGTAATGGCTATGAAGAGCTTATTTGTATGTTCATTTACTCTTGTCACCCTCACCTGCATTGACGATGTCTTTCTGCTTCCTGCTGGTCTTCCTTACTGGGACATCTTGACCAAACCACTGCCTCTCAACTATGTACAGCTGTCCTCCTGTCTTGGTCTTTCTCACCCGATTCTCTCTTTTCGGCCTTCCTGAAACCCAGTGCTCCAACTCATGCTAGGCAAACACCTTAGACACTGTCTTGCCTTGCTTTTCTCTTGCCTTGCTTTTCCCTTGCCTTGCCTTTCTCTTTCTAGTCTCTTCCAACTCTGCAACAGGTAAATTCCTCACGGGGGGGGGGGGGGGGGGAATCGGGATTGTGAAGCCAGGATGGTCGCACAGTGCCCTCTAGTGATCAACCTGTTTTCTCACAGATTTTCTTGAATGGGGAGCTGCTCCTTTTCCTCCCGTCTATGTCCAACATCCCTTTCTTCTGAATCCAGTGAACACCCTTCAGTCCTGATCTCAATTATTCACCTAGTGCCCTTCCTTAGCTTCATGATGCCAGGCTTTTCTGAGTGGTGCTCTTTTATACAAACACCTCCTTTAGAACCTGAGCTGGGTGGCCAATGGCCTACTTGAACTCACCTAGAAACCTCAAGCCCAAGGCTACACTTCCTATTAAGTCCCTACTATGGCTTCCACCACACTTACCCTCCATCCTCAACTGTTTCTCTTCCAGTATCATGCATGTTATCAAGCCAGGCCTTCCCTGATGACTTTCTTTTTTTTATTTCTTTGTAGTAGTAGGGCTTGAACTCAAGGCCTGGGCACTGTCCCTGAGCTCTTTTGCTCAAGGCTAGCACTCAACCACTTTGAGCCACAGTGCCACTTCCAGGTTTTTGAGTCGTTAATTGGAGCTAAGAGAGTAATGGACCTTCCTGCCCAAGCTGGCTTTGACCCATGATCCTTAGATCTCAGCTTCCTGGGTAGCTAGGATTACAGGCATAAGCCACCAGCACTGGGCACACTTCCAGCTTTACAGTGGTTAATTGGAGGTAAGAGTCTCACAGACTTTCTTGCCTGGGCAGGCTCTGAACTGTAATCTTCAGGCCCTTGATTAGCTAGGATTGCAGCTGTGAGCCATGAGTGCCCAGCCCCTGCATTTATTTATTTGTTTGTTTATTTTTGGTGCCAGTCCTGAAGCTTGAACTCAGCCTGAGTGCTGTCCATGAGCTTCTTTGCTCAAGACTAGTGCTCTACCACTTGAGCCACAGCTCCATTTCTGGCTTTTTGGCAGTTAATTGGAGACAAGAGTCTCACAGACTTTACTACCCAGGCTGGCTTTAAACCTTGATCATTAGATCTCGCCTCCTGCCTACTTCGGATGATAGGTGTGAGCACCCAGCACCTGCCTCCTGCATCTTTTTATTTTTTTATTTTTCCAAATTTTTTATTAAGTGGTTACATAATTTCCCAAATGTGATGCTTAAAGTCACAAACACATTCTAACTTTCATGGAGCAAATTGTCTATCATGGTCTATAACATTTATGAGTTCTATGTGCTTTGCAATAGTTATTTCTTCCACATTGGGTGATATGTACATTTCTTTTGTTTTGCATAGCATCAGCTGTTCCCTCTTTCCCACTTGTTTTCTCCCTCCCATCGCTGCCATTGTGTGGCTTAGTTCATTTTGGTCACTGTCCAGTGCAGCTGATGGGTCCCAATGCATGTATGCCTCCTGCATCTTTTTAGTGCTTAGTTAACACTTCATTGCAACCATCAGGAAGTGAAATGTGAGGGAAGGGAATGCCTCCAGAAATAAAGCAAGGGGATAGAAAAGCTTCAAGTCTTCAGAAGGGCCCCAAACATAGTACCTATCTTGGCTCAGCAATTCTCCTGTAAAAGATTTGTTTTCTCATCAAATCAGGAAAGTCTATTTTGCTTCCACCATATACTTAAAAATTATTACTAAAAGTGGGCACTGGTGGCTATAATCCTAGCTACTCAGGAGGCTGAGATCTGAGGACTGCATTCAAAGCCAGCCTGGGGAAGAAAGTCTGTGAGACTCTTATCTCCAATTAACCACCAGAAAACCGGAAGTGGCTCTGTGGCTCAAGTGGTAGAGCGCTAGCCTTGAGCTGAAGAGCTGAGGGACAGTGCCCAGGCCCAAGCCCCACAACCACCACCACCAACAACAAAATTATTAAAACTGTTGAATAGTGTAATTGTATTTAAAGGTTCCTAAAGACTAAACAATGTTGTTTTTTTCTTTATCTTGCAAATATAGAGCTCCTCAGCTGACTTTACCGAGTCTGCCACAAGACAGGAGTGAAGAAATGATACCCAACCACCCAAAGAACTTCACTGTGCAACAGTATGATTGCTTAAAGGCTACTGTAGGAAAAGGCATTGTTCAAGAGTACCTGGAATGGTATTTTGGCTCACAGGACTATCTTCTTCCTGACAGAAACTGAGAGTCAGTTCCAGTCTGAAGCACCCTTATTTGTCTGCAATTACAATGGTCTCATCTTTTCTCGGACTTTTTCTTTTTTTGTAATGGACCAAAAAGAAAAATGCTTGTCAGTGTCTTAGAACTCTCAAATCTCTAAAAGTGCAAGATTTCCAATTTTTCCACACTCTTATAATTATCCAAATGTATTAACTTTGCAGATGTTTAAATTTTAAATCAGTTGTTCTGCCTGGCTTTAAAGGATAAAAAGAAATAACTCACTTATTTATTTTGAGATATTAAGGGGGTAAAGCTATGAATTCCTTTAGTTCTTATGAAAGTATGACATTTCCACTTTCTGAGTAATATCTAGTTGAAGTCATAAAAAGAGCAGAAATCATTAACTATAACTCATTTTATTTTAAAATGGCAGTGTTTGTTCATTTCTGAATCTTTTCCTCATCTTGTAATAAGCAAAAGCCAACATTCAATGTTCTGGTTTACACACTTGATTAGTTTGTGTAGTTTCTTTAAAAGATCTGCCTAAAGTTAGTATCTAAAACACACTATGCCAGTGTAGCTTTAGCTGGGCAAAACCTGTATCTAATAGATAAGTGTTCATCATTCTAGTAAAGATTTTGTTTTGTTTCTGTGCTGTTCAACTCAGGATGTTAACATGCAAATAAAAAGTCAGAAAGAGTTTAGGGATATGATTATCCAATGAAGAAACTATCCTGTCTACATCTGAACTGTATTAATTTAAATTAGATTTTCTCAAGTGGCTAAATATATTCTCACTTGGTATTTATTGAAAGGCTGCTAGTTTAATGCTAGTAATTATCAGTTGCTCAGATAACAAATTTTCCAACTTATATCTTGACTCCACGTCAAGCATTGTAATTTGTAGGCAATACAGAGTGGCAGAGGTTATTAAAACGTCAACATTAGCCAGACCCTGGAAGCCCATGCCTGTAATTCTAGCTACTCAGGAGTCTGAGATCTGAGAGTTCTGGTACAAAGCCAGCTAGCCAGAGGAGAAAAGTCCTTGATGCTCTGCTCTCCAGTTAACTAGCAAAAAAAAAAAAAAACCCGTAAGTGTAGCTCCGGCTCACATCGTAGGACTGGCCTTGACTGAAAAAGTCAAACAAGACCAAGAGGCCCTGACTTCAAGCTTTAGTACCAGTGTGTGTGAGTGCATGCACACATACACATACACACACACGATCTATTTTGCTCGATAACTAGAAACTGACCACATCATGGATCTTATTTCCCTATGAAAGTGGGTTAAAACTTTAGGATGGAAGTCGGGCGCCAGTGGTTCACACCTGTAATCCTAGCTACTCAGGAGGCTGAGATCTGAGGATCAAGGTTCAAAGCCAGCCCGGGCAGGGAAAGTCTGTGAGACTCTTATCTCCAATAAACCACTCAGAAAACTGGAAGTGGCGCTGTGGCTCAAGTGGTAGATAGCTTGCCTTGAGCTGAAGAGCTGAGGGACAGCGCCCAGGCCCAGAGTTC